ATGCTCAGCATCACTGGCCATCAGAGTAATGCAAATCAAAACCACAATGAGATACCATCTCACACCAGTTAGAATGGCGATCATTAAAAAGTCAGGAAACAACAGGTGCTGGAGAGGATGTGGGGAAATAGGAACACTTTTACACTGTTGGTGAGACTGTAAACTAGTTCAACCATCATGGAAGACAGTGTGGCAATTCCTTGAGGACCTAGAACTAGAAATACCACTTGACCCAGCCATCCCATTACTGGGTATATACCCAAAAGATTATAAATCATGCTGCTATAAAGACACATCCACATGTATGTGTATTGCGACACTATTCACAATAGCAAAGACTTGGAACCAACCCAAATGTCCATCAATGACAGAATGGATTAAGAAAATGTGGCACATATACACCATGGAATACTATGCAACCGTATAAAAGGATGAGTTCATGTCATTTGTAGGGACATGGATGCAGCTGGAAACCATCATTCTCAGCAAACTATTGCAAGAACAGAAAACCAAACACCAAATGTTCTCACTCATAGGTGGGAACTGAACAATGAGAACACTTGGACACAGGAAGGGGAACATCACACACCGGGGCCTGTTGTAGGGTGGGGGGAGAGGAGAGGGATAGCATGAGGAGATATACCTAATGTAAATGACAAGTTAATGGGTGCAGCACACCAACATGGCACATGTATACATATGTAACAAACCTGCACGTTGTGCACATGTACCCTAGAACTTAAAGTATATATGCAAAAAAATTAATCCTGGGTGTGTCTGTGAGGGTGTTGCTAAAAGAGATTAACATTTGAGTCAGTGGGCTGAGGAAGGCAGATCCACTCTTAATCTGGTGAGCAAAATCTAATCAGCTTCCAGCAAATATAAAGGAGACAGAAAAACATGAAAAGGCAAGACGGGCCTAGCCTCCCAGCCTACATCTTTCTCCCGTGTTGGATGCTTCCTGCCCTCAAACATCTTACTCCAAGTTCTTCAGTTTTGGCACTCTGACTGGCTCTCCTTGCTTTGCAGCTTGTGGGACCTTGTAATCAGGTAAGTTAATACTTAGTAAACTCCTAAAAATATATAGTTTTGTCCCTCTAAGAGAACTCTCACTAATACAGGGCTGCTCCTGGGACAGGGGTTTTTGATTCCCTGGCTTCTTTGGTTTGCCTCTCATGCAAGCAGAGTGGGGTCTGGGCATTTGAGAGAAAACTCTCCAGCAGTTGGAAGTCAGGTGCAGCAGACTCTGTTGATGAGGTCCAGAGAAGGATCAGAGCAAGTGCTGAGTACTGGCGACCTCCAGCAGCGCTTGCATTTGAAGGGGCACCAGGACACGGCAGTTAGAACTCGAACTCTGGAAGTAGACTGCTTGGGGCTGGATCTTGCCCCATTGGGTAAGTTGCTTTTATTTACTTTATTGTTTTATTTATTTTTATTTTATTTTGAGATGGAGTCTTGCTCTGTCACCCAGGCTGGAGTGCAGTGGCACGATCTCGACTCACTGCCACCTCCACCTCCCGGGTTCAAACGATTCTCCTGCCTCAGCCTTCTAAAGAACTACAGGTGTGCACCACCACATCCAGCTAATTTTTGTATTTTTAGTAGAGACTGGGTTTTGCCATGTTGGCCAGGGTGGTCCCGAACTCCTGACCTCAGGTGAGCCACCCACCTCGCCTCCCAAAGTGCTGGGATTACAGGTGTGAGACACCGCACCCGACCTATTTACTTATTTTTAAATGCATTTTTTAAATTGAAGAATAACATCATAGGAAGAAGTCTACACATTCTAAGTGTGCAGCTCACAAACTTCCCCAGATGGAACACACCCGTGTAACCAACACAACATCTGGTTCATGAAATAGGGTGTGATTGGCGCCCCAGGAATCCTCACTCACACGCCGTTCTAGTTACTATTGCCTCCAGGATAACCACTATTTTGACTCTAACGCCATAGACTTTAGTTTCACCTACTTTTGTGCTTTACATAAATGGGACCGTGCAGTGCACACTCCGCTGTGTCTGGAGCCTTCCACTCAGAATTCAGTGTCTGAGATTCATCCACACTGTTGTGCACAGTTACTATTCGTTTGTTTTATTGCTGAGCAGTGTTCCATTGTATTTGATTGTTTCCAGTTTAGGGTGATTTTAAACAGTGTTGCTGTGAGCCCTCTTGTATACCTGTGGGAACAGAAGTCTCATTTTGTCACTTAATATTAGTTAGTGTCTTATCCAAGTTTGCAGTGGCAGCTACAGTGTGGTGTCTTGCACATAGCTGGTGCTCTATAAATGTTTGTGGCATGAATCAAGAGGCAGGGCAAGTCCAGAGGTAGATAAACAACCCTTGCTGGGATCTGGCGTCTGGTTCACTGGTTCACCTGCTCCATGATCCTGGACTTTGGGCCCCACTTGCCGGGTTTCAGAGGGAAACTGACAGCCACAGGGCAGAGGAGACAAAAACGAAGTCTCCCAGGTGTGCCGTTAACAAGCACAGCGCTTAACCATGTCGGGAACTATCCCCAAATGACAGCCGAGAATCCTCACTGACTTTTCTTTGAAGGAAAAAAAAAAAATTCTTCCAGACCTGTAACTAGGCTAATCACAAGAAACATCTGTGACCTCCTAAAAATATCTGCTTGGTACCATTTTGTAGAGCATAATATTTATACAGCCCAGCAGTGTAATTAAATTGATGTTTAGTTAACTCTTGGAAACAGCTGAAGGCTCCCAAAGCCCAGAATGAGATCTGGAACGGGCTGGAAAGGGGCCCTGGGAGGTGTTCCCGCAGGCTCTTAGTGGGGTATCCTGGAGTGGCCACAGAGATGGCGGGACATGAGAAACTGAGGAACATGCTGTGTTGAGGGACTGCATGGCTTCCTCGGGCAGTTGGATTATAGTTGTTTCTATGCTTCTGTCCAGCAGCCTCTGGAACATCATTTCCTGCTGAGGAAAGATTTTCCCTTAAAGGGCTAATCAGAAAGTGGCCTGTCTCAAAGCGCCTTTGCTGTTGTTTTGTAGCCTGAGGAGATGAAGTGGGACGAAGGTGAGTTTTTCTGCAGGGTTTCATGCTCGTTCCTGGAGAACTGCTCGTATTGGCGGGGATCTCAGCTGGCAGGGAGTAGAGCCCGTGCTTTCTCTTTCTCCTCATCAATAAAGAAAGGAGCAAAGCTGAAGCAAGTTTTTTCTTTTTTGGAAAAAAAAATTCAACTTTTATTTTAGATTCAGATGTGCAGGTTTGTTACCTGGGCATATTGCGTGAGGCTGAGGCTGTGGATGACTGATCCCGTACCCAGGGACTAAGCATAGTTTTTAGGCAAAGGGGCTCCATAGTTTTTCAGCTAGGCAAGTTTCTCACTGGAGCCCCCCGAGGCCTGCAAAGCAGGACTGGAGCCTACTGCGGGCAGGGCCTGGTGTGGGGTCTCCTCTGAAGTCTTGAGATGACACAAAAACATCACGCCTTTACAGGGGTGCCTCCAGAGTGTGGGTACGGGTGGGATTCAGAAGGGTCTTCGGGGAGCTTGAGAAGTCTGGAGTTGGGAAGGCAGTCCAGGGACAGTACTTCCTGCTTTGGCCATCCCCTTTTTGTGGAATTCTGCTCTTTGCATGAGGAAAAGGGAAAACACATTGATGTTTTGAGCCCATAAGCATTCCTTTATTCATTCATTCTGTGATAATTACCAAGCAACTACTACCTAATGTACCTTCTTGGCCCTGTGCTGAGAGTAAGGGATGAAAGACTGAGCAAAATGGACACCACCTGATATGGTTTGGCTGTGTCCCCACCCAAATCTCATCTTGAATTGTAGTTCCCATAATCCCCACGTGTGGTGGGAGAGACCTCAGTGAGAGGTAACCGAATCATGGGGATGGGTTCCCCCATGCTATCTTCATGATAGTGAGTAAGTTCTCGTGAGATCTGATGGTTTTATAAGGGGCTTCCCCCTTCACTTGGCTCTCATTCTTCTCCTTCATGCTGCCATGTGAAGAAGGACGTGTTTGCTGTCCCTTCTGCCATTGTTTTGTTTCCTGAGGCCTTGCCAGCCCTGTGGAACTGAGTCAATTAAACCTCTTTCCTTTTTAAACTACTGAGTCCCAGGTAGTACTTTCTAGCAGCGTGAAAATGGATTAATACACCTCCCATCCTCAGGGAACTCCCAGTGTAGTGCCTAGCGACACACACAGTGAGGGCTCAGGAGGGAAAGCTGAGGGACTCTTCATAGACTTGTAGGGGCTTAGGACAGACTTCCTGAGGAACAAGATCAGAGGAATGAGTGAGAGGTCCCTGAGATAGGGCAGAGATGAGACCATTCCAGGCAGAGGAAACAGCATGTGCAAATGCCCTGTGGCTCACAGAGCATGATAAGTTCCAGGAACAGAACAAGACCAGTGAAGATGGAGAAAGGGGGTCAGTGGCAGAAGGCTGGAGACTGGGGCCAGGCTTTGTAGACTGAAGCCAGAACTCTGGTGGTCATCCTTACATGTTCTGAGACCTGGAACCACCTGCTATGGGGTGGACTCCATGCTGGCCCTATTTTATTCTGGAAAAGAAGGTTGGGTGGAAAATGGCACTCTTAAGGCTGGAGTTGCCAGAAAGATTTAGGGTTTCTCCCCATCTTGAAATGTGTAACCCCAGACTCCTCCAAACCCTGATGGTGACCATCAAGATGGAGGTGGCTCCATGACATCAATGAAGGGACAGTGAACAAGGACCTAAAAACAAACCCTGATCCATGGAATTGAGGGCTTCATCTCAGTATCTGTCCAAGTCACAGCCTAATAGGTCCTTAAACAGACTCAAAGGGAGAAACGGCCCAGGGAAGAAGGAAAGCCACCATTTGTATTTCCCAGTGGCGCCACCTTTTATTCCAAGTCTAAAGTTATCCCAAGGCCACACATATGTGGATAGGGGATGGTGTGCTTGGGTGGGCTTGTGGTGTTGTGCCATGGGAAGCGGTTTGGAGGATAAGAGAATGTGGTGCCCAGATCCACAATGCCATCCTTACCTCTCCAAAGGGTTCTTGGGGTACCCGTCCCTAATGTAGGGATGACTCCAGAAGGTCTCTGTTTCCCTTGGATATTTATAATCCTAAAAACAGATCAGTTAAAAGTTAAAAGTTAAAAGTTAAAAGTTAACGAAGAAAAGGAAAGTTAGCTCAGTGACAACAATAAAAGGCGCTCAGGGCTTAACATGTATTATCTTATTTCTTGTCACTACTACTTCTGAAATTAGCTCCATTTCCATGGGGAGGGTGAAAACCTGCTGAGGTTTTGGCCTTAGAAAGGTGGTGGTGCTTCCCCCTGCTTCCAACCCATGTAATTAAAAACTTAAAAAGTAAAACTACGCTAAACCATAAATCAAGTGCAAGATAGATGAATCAAGTTCTGGGTGTTTCTCCACAATGACTAGTTTGATGTGTATTTTTCAACATTATTATACATAACTGTGGTTATTTTTATGTAAATTCGAATTATGTGATTCTGAAATAGTTTAATATAAAATAAAAATAAAGTCTCACTTTACAACCCAAATATGAAATAGAATACCAAGAGATTAAAGAGAGTTGGGAATCTCATCATTTCAAAAGCATTAAGATAGACTGGTCTGTGAGCTTTGCTGAAACTTGTCCAAGATGGGGCTGTTCTCAGCTGGTAAAAGGGAAACCCACCATGCTTTGTGTCGTTACTATGGAAAGGTTGGCCTGGACTTAATTGAGCTGGGATTTACATGAGGTATTCAGGAAAGTATCTCTCTAATAAATATAACTGCCATATAGCAAATTATGCTGGAAAAAAATCCCTTGGTGCCTTTGAATTATGTGTGGACACAGTAGGTACTTTCTCTGCCTCCTGGGTCACTTAGGGGAAGAGAAGTTAAGTGACTTGTATAACAGCACAAGGTCATGGTGGAGCTGAGGTTTGGAAATGGGTCTGCTTGGTTCCAGGTGTCTTGTTGAGAGAGGTTTAGTGTTCCTGCCCTCCTCTTTAAATTACTTTAAAAAAAAAAGAAAAAAAAATCAAAGAGCTAGACAGGGCTTTGAAACTCATTTAATCCAGGGCATGCATTTTAGAGATGAATGAACTGAAATCCAGAGAAGAAAAACTGAATGACGCAAAGCCATGGTTGCTGTGCTTTGGTTGGCTTCACCAGTTTTCCAGGGAAGCTCTTGAAAGAGGCCTGAGCTCTACTTCAAGCTGGTTCTTAGCCTCGCTGTGTGGTCACCAGGAGACGACTTGCCCTCTCTTGGTTCAAGCCCCGCCTCTCAGGGAAGCAGGTGGGTTGGATGAGGTGTCCTCTCACATTCCTTCAAGCTTAAAAGCTCTCTATGTCTGATTCCAGCCTCTTCTCATTGATTACTTCCCATTGTCTCTTGGGGATAAAATTGGGGTGGTGGTAAGGGGAGGCCCCATAAGAAATGGGGTGGAATAAATGAGCCAAGAATGTAGAGGCAATAATTTTTCCAAGGAAAATTTAGTAAAGAGAAAATAAAATTTCTTTCCTTTTTATTTTAAAGAAATAGCCGGTATCAGAGTTCAAGATGACTGACCAGTGTACGATGAATTTCCATTTTTCTTTATTACAAAGAATCATTCAGAGATGCTCTCCCATTTTCATACCCACACAACACATAAAGCTCAATACACACTTGCACACACCTGCACATCAAACATGCCCTGGGAATGAAGCATCACAATGAGCTGAATGAATGAGTTGTTCAAGGCAGACAGCCCTGGGCAGGACTTGGTTATAGCTTTGGTGGGAGTCTCTTTGGAGAAGTCCATTTGGTGGGGTGCATAGGCACAGAACCTTGAAAAACTTTCTGAGATGTCACTGACCAGTTTGGCCGGTATCTAAAATTGTCTCCTGTTTATATTTTCTTCATCTTGAATAACTCTGTGACATATGATTAGTTATAAGGTTTCTCATATCTCCCAATATTTTCTCTAAAGTTGGATTCCAATGTCTTTTTTGAGTGGCAGTGTCCAAATTACTTACAGCCACAAAAACACTGAGTCACAAGCTATCTCAAAACTCTGCAACCTAACTGATTTATACTCATGGACCTGCGGTGTGACTGAGGATCTGCTAATTCAGGCTGTCTGGGCCCTGCCCCTCCAGTCTCCCATCTCCTTTCCCTCCCTGCTATGGTTTGAATGTATCCCCCAAATTTCATGTGTTGGATACTCAATCCCCAATGTGGCAGTATTGAGAGGTGGGGCCTTTAAGAGGTGATTGGGGCTCTTCTCTTTACAAATAGATGAGCTCATTCATGGGTTGATGAATTAATGAATTGATGGGTTATTGTAGAAGTGGAACTGGTGGCTTTAAAAGCAGAGGAAGAGAGGCCTGAGCCAGCATGCTCAGCTCCCTCACCACGTAATGTCCTGTACGGTCTCGAGACTCTTCAGAGAGTCCCCACTGGCAAGAAGGATTTCACCAGACGTGACCCCTGACTTCCCAGCCTCCAGAACTGTAAGACATAAATTTCACTTCTTATAAATTACCCTGTTTCAGATATTCTGTTATAAGCAACAGAAAATGAACTGAGACACTCCCCTTCAGACCAGTGGCATGGTCCAGGCACATTTTCCCCATGGTGATGGCAGAGGGGAAACACATCACTGGGCTAACATCCCACAGGCCAGAGCAAGTGACATGGCCAAACTCAGAAGTAGGAAATACGGCATTAAAGTGCACATCAGAAGTGAAGGAAGACAGTGGAAATGTGAAGACAGTCATCGTGGTCAATATCCTCTGTGACAAACTTATCAGTTGTGGTGGTTTTAAACATTTGCAAATTCTTTGTTACTCCTCCCATCAAGAGGTGGGATCCAGGTCCCCTCCTTCTGAGCTGGGGTGGGCCATTTTGGCCGCCTCGATGAACACAATGTGGCAGAAGTGACACTGCATGACTTTTTAGGCTTCTGCTGGTTTCTTGCAGACTTCTGCCCCTTGTGAGAAGTTCTGATACCCCGAGGTCCCCATGTGGGGAGACCAGACAGAGATGCTCGGGGATGCCTGGACTCCCAGCGAGGAATCTCTGGAGAGGGCCACAGACACTGCATGTCTCTGGAAACACATGGGAGTCCCTGAGCAAGAACTGCCCAGTGGAACCCAGTTAACCCCCAGATCCATGAGCAAATCATTGTTCCGATTTTATGCCACTGTTTTGGGGTGCCTCATTATGCAATATTAGATAACTGGAAAATCAAGGCTACAATTTCTAGCAAGGAATTGTGCATAGGGGTGAACTCCAGCTCCTCTGTTTGCCACCAGTTGTAACCTTGGATAAGTGCTCTGATGTCCCTGAATCTCAGCTTTTTCATCTGTAAAAATGGGGATCGTGTTCCCTGCCTCCTATGATTGCTGCCAGATTAAACACCTAGCACAGGCCCTGGATGGAGGCAGGTGTTCAGTCAGTATTGATGGAGCAAATAACTGCTTACTGCTCAGTGGGGCTCATAGGGTGAATTCTGGCTGGGTAGAGCTTGCAGGCCACAAAATGGGCAGATGGAATGACTGAAACAGTGCTGTGGTTCAGCCCAGGCTACAAATTATGACCGTTAGATGTGTGAGTATGTGTGTGTGCACGCTTTCAAATTTTCCTTTAATAAGGAAGTGGAGACCTTTTGCTTTTTTTTTTTTTTTGAGATGGAGTCTCTCTCTGTTGCCCAGGCTGGAGTGCAGTGGCGCCATCTTGGCTCACTGCCACTTCCGCCTCCCAGGTTCAAGCAATTCTCCTGCCTCAGCCTCCCGAGTTGGGATTATAGGCAAAAATTACATGCCTGGGTAATTTTTGTATTTTGAGTGGAGATGGCCAGGCTGGTCTCGAGCTCCTGGCCTCAGGTGATCCACCTGCCTTGGCCTCCCAAAGTGCTGGAATTACAGGTATGAGCCACCACGCCTAGCCCCTTTTGCAGTCTTGATGGATGTGTGTGAAACCCATTTCCTGGAGCTCTCAGGGGAACACGTTTTTATGTGCAGATCCCTATTTCATGAAGTTGCAGGGACATAGAATATATAATTTGTTTGGGGCATTGCTTTGAGCAGGCTGATAAAAGTGGAAGCTAAAAAATTAATGTAGTCTCCTCCTTCAGATCCTGTAGCCAGCCTGTTCGGGTTTCTTCCCCATCTCTGCAACCCAAACGGAAGGATCTTCCTTTTTTTGCCTCATATGATCCACAGAAAAGATCTTCCTTTTAACAAACTTCTTGACAGCACCCATACTGCAGAAGGTGCATGCATCCTGTGTTCATTTTGATGAAGTTTCGTAAACTACAGGCACCCGTATTTTCATAAACCAACTTCCAGATCCAGAAACAGAATCCCTTCCAGCACCCCAGATGTCCCTTCTCCCCTTTCTCATCAATACTTAGTCCCCGAACCCAGGGAAACCACAATTCGACTTAAAAATAACATCCTTTAGTTTCCCCAGTTTTTGCTCTTCCTGTAAACAAAATCATGCACTCTGATTTTGTGTTGGGATTCTTTGGCTCCACGTTGTCTCTGTAACACTCATGCATTTCTTGCACACATTTTGGCTCATTCATCTTCTTAGTTGTATCATATTTTATTTTATGACTATACCATAATTTATTTATCTGTTCTTCTGTTGATGGGTAGTTTCCAGATTTGTGTCCCATCTTCCTATCTCCCCAGCATGAGGCTTATCTCTTACCTCCCCAGCATGTGGCTTAAATACCTGGAACATTTGCTTGGAACATGAAGGAAGGAAGGCAGATTCTTTATAAATTCAAATCCATCTTGTCCGGTTGCCCACATTGTGCTGAGTGTCCTCACTGGCTGCTCCAGCCTCCCACCCACATGGCTAGACTTCAAGGAGTGAAGGGTGAGAACTCTCTCCCTTGTCTGTTCCAATGACCAGTGCCCGAAATCCCACCTTGGGAGGGCCCTTCCTTTCCCACTGTTAAAATACAACACCCCCTCCACCCGGAAGGCATGTTCTCCAAAGTGAGCCTTCTAGGTCACTTGTCCCCAAAAAGAAGAAAAGAACAAGACTTCCTGAGAACTGATCTGGGCCAGGAATGCAGCAGCGCTTGATGTCTGAGGGAAGCGGTTTTTCATTCAAGAGGGAAGGAAGAGGAACGTGCCCCAAAGCGAGGTGGGGACTTTGACTACAAACTCAGTGGGGCTCAGCATTCTGCCTGTCTCTGGCTCATTTTCCTGGACACTGCGATTGAAGCAGGAGATTAGACTGGGGGCCTTTAACTCAACCTAATCCCAAATGCACCTTTATTTTATGTCTCACTAAGGAAGAACTAACATTGCAATGGAAAACTAAGGCATCCTGCTTTCTTTAGAATTTTATTTTTAACTTATTTGAATGGGCTTTACATTTAATTAGGTAAAAATTTTTATAATATAGTACTTGGGTGAATATAAAAAGAAAAATATGAGCAAAATAAAATTGGTTAATATAGTCTAAATTTCTTAACATTGACCTGGTTTTTCTGATTCACTTTTGACTCCCAAATTGTTGTTGCCTGTGGTCTCCTCACTCCTCTGGCAATGCCATCCTGAGTGCCATGAAGAGTCTTGGTAATACAGTAATTCTGTTCTTTAATTTTATCTTTCACTAACAAATAATGATTGCATATATTAATGAGGTATAATGTGATGTTTTGGTATGTGTTTACATAGTAGAATGATAAAATCAAGTAAATTAACATATCTATCACCTTATGTACTTACGAATTTTTGTGATAAGAATATTTAAAACCCAATTTTTAAGCAATTTTGAAATATACAATGCTATGATTAATTATACTCATCATGCTGTACAATAGATCACTAAAGCTTTGACCCTCTGCCTGGCTGAACGTTGTACGTTTTAATCAACATCTCTCTTTTCTCCATCCGCCCCCATCCCTGAGCCTTTGATAAACACCATTCTACTCTCTCCTTCTATGAGTTTGCCTTTTATCATCCAAGCATGAACTGAAAGCGTTGGCTCTTGGTTCTGAAGCTGGTTTTGCAGCCTGCTTCTGATTCCTGCTTTGGGGAGGGCTCCTGAAGGGATATTTTCCCTTCTCACTCCCAGACCAATTAGGAGAGGCTCCAGGATTTCCATGCACATGGTGGATACCACTCTCCAGGGTTTGATGCTGGTGCTTTTGATATTCATGCATGTAATAGTCCGGGGCAACTATGTGGCATGACTACTTCTTAGAGGAAATGGTTGTAAGGAAGCTTTGATATATACTAAGATGCATCCCAACTTCAGAACTGCTAAGATACAGAAAAAAGTATAAGTTAGAATCAATGCAAAAATCGCAGCCCCATCCCTGCCTGCTGCTCAGCTCTGCCATCCCCCAGAATCACGGCCTCCCAGAAGCCTGCAGCCTCGTCGTGAGTCATAACCTGTGTCTGAACACTCGATTTATCTTCATCTTTCTTGAAAGACTGTATGTAAACTGATCACATTGTTCTACTCCCCACTTCGCTCCAAACTAAACCAAGTAACACAATTCAGTGGCTTTTCTGGAGCAACAGGACAGAGAGTGATACCAGCGTTCAGACCCAGGAGTGCTGTGGGTATGTTCGTTATCTAGGCATAAAACAGCTCGGCATCAAAGCATCCCTGGGAAAGGTCAATATCCAGGCTGTCTTCTGCTTCTGCTCCTGATCTCCATCACACCTACCTCTTTGCAGGGTGTGCTGCGGGTCTGGACTGGTGAGAACTGAACCTGGGAGAGGAGACCAAGCAAAGGCTTAATTTTCTGCTCTGTTTTCCCCAGTTTGCCCGGGGATCATCTTTAGCAGCGGCAGATGGGAGGCTTTGTTCTTCATTGCTCCTCCGTTAAAGTGCTGTCCCTGAGATCCCTAGAAAGAGTTTGTTTTATTTGTTTTTTGGCCAGAGGTGCATTCAGAAAAAGGCCCAGGCAACTCCCCAGAGGAACTTTATTCTTTATTTTAGTGGCTCAGGAGCCTGGAGATATTAATCTTTTTCCACTTCAGAGCTTGCTGAGAAAGGGTTTGGGGGCTTGAAAGGGGATGGCTTACTTTTCTTTTGGTTCAGCATGATAACGGCCACAGACTCTGTGAGGGGACTCTGTCTGTTCTACATGAGGTTTTGAACAGATTACTTTTCTCAGCCAGCTTCCTGGGGAGAGACTCACTTTCATTGAGAAGATGGCCTGAGCTTTGTAGAATAAAACAATGCTTCAGGCCGGATGAAAGAGACACCGTTCTGCAGAGGCCAGGGAAGCCTTTTCTTGACGTTCTAGAGAGAGGCAAAGCGGAAGAGAGAAAGGAGAGGGGGGCTGGGGACTGGCAGGAGGCCTCACTATGGGAGCTCAGATCATTAATGTTAATTCTCCCACACCCCTGCCATGGCCCCAGACTTGGGGGAAGGGGAGGAGGTGTTTTCCTCTGACTTTACCTTTGGCTGTGTGACTTGTTTTGGTCAGTGGGATGTCAGCAGATATCACATGGGTAGAGGCTTGAAAGGCTCTTGGGTGGGGATTTTGCTCTGTTGCACTCCTGACTTTTATCATAGCAAGAACATGCCTTGGGTATTTGTAGGACCAGGAACAAGAAGAAACACATGGAACAGACCTAGGCCCAACCCACAGCTTGTGCCAAGTCCACCCAAGTCCAGACTATTAGCCAAACCCCAGCCAACCCACAGATATGTGATCAGAGAATAAATTCTCATTGTTGTGCAATACTGTGCTTTGGGATTATTTGCTATGCAGCACATTGTGGCAATAGCTGACTAATACAGAACTCTTTCTTTACTCTCTCAAATCATTAATAAAGTCAATAAATTCATGAAATGCTTGGGATAAATGATGTTTTAAAAATGGGAACCAATGAGGGATTGTGTGTGAATTGTAAGGCCGTTTTGAAGGAGAAGGAAGCATTTGGAAGAAAGTTCCAGATGGAGACAGTCTGTAGGGACAGCTTTAGAGCCTCATAAGGCCATGGAAATTGGGGCTGGGCTAAGTTTTACTGGCTCTCTGAGAGACATAGATCACTCAGTGGATAGTTGCTTAAATAAGAAAGGATACAAGATAGACACCAAGAATACAGGTCCATTAGTCAAAGTTTTCCAGAGAAACAAAACCAATAGGACTTGCGTGTGTGTATTTATGCATATATATATATATATTTTAAATTTATGTTTTACAAGAATTGGCTCAAATGATTATGGAGGCTGACAAGTCCAAATTCTGCAGGGTGGGCTGGCAAGCTGGAGACCCAGGGAAGAGTCATTGTGGTAGTTTGAGCCTGAAGGTAGTCTGCCATGGAGCCAGGAAGAGCCAACGCCACAGAACAAGTCTGAAGGCCTTCTCATGGTTGATTGCTTCTTGCTCAAGGGAGGTAAGTATTTTGTTCTATTTCAAGTCTTCAACTGACTGGATGAGGCTCACATTATGCAGGATGATGCTTTACTTCACCAATTTAAATGTTTATCTCATTCAAAACCACCCTCACAGAAACGTCAAAATAATGTTTGAGCACGTATCTGGGCAATGTGGCCCAGCCAATTTGACACATGAAATTAACCATCACAGTTGGCTTTAATCTTTCTCTAGCTCTACAAAAAGAAACCCATTTTCTCCATATTAGCAAGTTTTAAGTTACCAAGGAGAGAGCTAGCATCCAACTCAAATCACATCCCAAAGGATGTGGCTTGTGGCTATTGTTGAGAAAATTTTCTATTGGGCCTACTGAATCCACCAAGCTTTGTCAAATATCATTGCTACTATTCTTTAAAAAGTCTTTATTGGGTTATAGCATACACAAGCAGAGTGCACAAGTCATAATGTGCATCTTGATGAATTTTCACAAAGTGAACTAGCACTGGGTCGAAAAACAGAATATTATGAACACCCCCAAGCCCCTCTCACATTCCCTTCTAGTCACTACCTTCTTCCTAAGGGTAACCATTACTTTTCCTTTTCAAACCACAGATTAGTGTTGGCTGCTGTGTACCTTATGGCAGGTGTATTTTCCAAAGACTGCTGCACTAATATAGCCCATCCTTCCTTTCCTGAGAATGTGCTGCTGATATTCCTCCATCTCTGTTTCCTCCCTTTGAGTATGTGTGGACCTGGGACTGTAGCAGAAGTAATAGCATGCGACTTCTGGGGCTTAGTTATAAAAGACAATGACTCCCTGATCCTTTTGGGGTGATCACCTTTGGAATCCAGCCACATGCAAGGCCAAGTTGATGTGTTCCAACCACAGCTCCAGTTGAGGTCTCAGCTGACAGCCAGCATTGGCTACCACCCATAGGAGGAGAAGCTTTCAGATGATTCCAGCCCCCTGAATTCCCGTCTTCCCACGTACCTCAGAATGGAACAGAGATGAGTTGTCCTTTACCAAGCCTTGCTCAAATGCAGACTTATAAAAAAAAGTTGCTGTGGTTTAAAGCCACTAACTTTTCAGGTCATTTGTTGCACAGCAAGAGATAGCTAGAATGTACTTTATACAAATGGTGTCATCCAGTAGGTGTACTTTCCTGACATTCCACATTATGTCTGTGAGAGTCTCCATGTTGTTGCATGTAGTCATAGACTGTTTATTCTTTTTGCTTTATAGTATGTGATTATATGAATAAAATACATCTTATATATTCATGTGCTACTGACAGACATCATATGTTTCTAGTTGGGGCTATTAATAAAGGCCAAAGATTCTAGTACATGTCTTCTGGTAAATGTCAGTACATGTTTCTATTGGGCATGTACCTAGAATTGGAATTGCTGTACCTTAGAGTCCATCTGTGGTCCACTTCAGTAGTTACTGCCAAAAAGTTTTCTAATATTCTTTTTTGAACAAAATGTTAAAAGCCATGTCATAGGCTTGTTTATGGAGCGGTGCTCTGAGGTTTGATCCTGTGAGGGAGGGAGGTTGGATCAGAGGTGCCCTAGTCATCTCTAGAAAAGATACTAGGCCAGCACTTGGATTTATTCACTATGTAACTCCAGGGCCAAGTAGGCTTGCAAAGAATGTGAACTTCAACAGCAACAATTTGTAGACTGGGAGCCTCCTGGTGTTACACGACTGTGGAGTAGCCCTTTCTTATATTCCTCTTTCTGACTTCCCTTTAACAAATTTGTGAAAGCACACACAAAGTCAAAGTTTGGCCTTGTCTTTGGAAACAATCATTGCCACAGTCCAAGGAAGTTTCCAGTAGGTGTTCCATGATTAAGAACATTCATGAACCATGCACCACAGGCCTTACCCTCTAAATCAGATTAGTCTGGAAAGACCCTGACGGAGTAAAGAGACAAGGCTAAATTGCCCTTTTATATGCCTTGGTTTGTATTTTAAATGGAAATTAAACCCAAAAGCCACAGAACCTGCAACGTACAACTGAAGTGATGACATAATGAACCATGACTGAGATCATGGCAAAGACAACTGTAGCATTGTTGCTGCCCATCCAACAGCAATTATGAAGATGCCATTTATAATAGCCTTGATTTCAGGTTGGTGACATATGAAAAAATGTGCTTGTCAGAATGGCCACAACACAACATTTGAATATCATGCCCAGCCACAATCTCTCTCCTTTTGCCTATGTATTTGGATTGTACATGCTGATTGTTGCCTCTGTCAGCTTAGATAATTAAAGATAACTTAAATGTGATTCCTGATTCTGTCAATGGTTTGAAATAAGTATTATACCTTATCCATGTCCCTATGTCTGAATTTATCAAATGTTCAGGATGGACATTTCCCAAAAGGAAACATTTCTTGTACCTGTCACTAGTGTTGAGGAATGTTTGGGGTACTCCTAGTAGGAACTGTTCCCTTGGAAATGAGATCTTAGATATCACCGTTAGGGCAAACAATTTCTGGGAAGCTGCTGAGTGGTCCATGATGTGGACAAAGGAGAGAGCAGGACAGGGAAGTGAGAGAGAGAAAGACTGAGAAGAGAGAAACAATGAGACAGCAGCAACCAGGAAGGCAGGAAGATGTGGAAGAGGGGAGAAAACTACAGCTGATAGAGATTGGTCAAGGCCTCAGAGGGCCTCCGTGAACTGCTCCCACTTTGGCTATAAAGCACAAAATAATGCACTTGAAGGGTTCTTGTGAGCTTCTTCTACAAAATGGGATGATGTTAATTATGGCAATGGTGATGATCTACATCTACCTCCTTGTGTTATCATGAAGATTTGTGCAGATGATACATACAAGGTCTTTATCTCAGCACCCAGAGGGTAAGTGCTTAAGAAATGCAGCAGGCATTTGCTCCCGCTGTTTCTGCTCCTGGGTAACAATCAAGATGGTACATGCTGAAGCCTTTTCTCGTCCTTTGAGTCGGAATGAAGTTGTTGGTTTAATTTTCCGTTTGACAGTATTTGGTGCAGTGACATACTTTACTATCAAATGGATGGTAGATGCAATCGATCCAACCAGGAAGCAAAAATTAGAAGCTCAGAAACAGGTCACTTGGAGTGATATAGCAGGTTTAGATGATGTCATTACGGATCTGAAAGACACAGTCATCTTACCTATCAAAAAGAAACATTTGCTTGAGAATTCCAGGCTTCTGCAGCCTCCAAAAGGTGTTCTTCTCTATGGGCCTCTAGGCTGTGGTAAAACGTTGATTGCCAAGGCCACTGCCAAAGAAGCAGGCTGTCGATGTATTAACCTTCAGCCTTCGACACTGACCGACAAGTGGTATGGAGAATCTCAAAAATTGGCTGCTGCTGTCTTCTCCCTTGCCATAAAACTACAACCATCCATCATCTTTACAGATGAAATAGACTCCTTTCTACGAAACTGTTCAAGTTCTGACCATGAAGCTGCAGCCATGATGAAAGCTCAGTTTATGAGTCTCTGGGATGGATTGGATACTGATCACAGCTGTCAGGTCATAGTAATGGGAGCTACCAATCGTCCTCAGGACCTTGACTCTGCTATAATGAGAAGAACGCCTACAAGATTTCACATCAACCAGCCTGCTTTAAAACAGAGAGAAGCAACCTGAAACTCATCTTGAAAAATGAAAATGTGGATAGGCATGTAGACCTGCTAGAAGTGGCCCAGGAAACTGATGGCTTTTCAGGAAGTGACCTAAAAGAGATGTGTCGAGATGCTGCCCTCCTCTGTGTTAGAGAATATGTTAATTCTACATCAGAAGAAAGCCATGATGAAGATGAAATTCGGCCTGTTCAACAGCAGGACCTGCATCGGGCAATTGAAAAGATGAAGAAATCAAAGGATGCAGCATTTCAGAATGTTTTAACACATGTTTGTTTAGATTAAGAGTAAAGATCATTTGTACAGTTCAGAGATCTAGTTTGGTGTGTCCTCTTATCAGTCAGTGGAAATAGAATGGAAAGAGTGCTCTTTAAACCATGAGGGAACTCAGTGTTTATGGTTTTATACTCTGAATTCTAAGTTATTGAGATATAGTTGTTACGTAAGTGGTATTACTGTTTGTCAAAAATCACGAGGAGAAACAGTTGAATCCAGCCTGAAAGTGGGTGCCTGTGTTTGACCTCTTTAGCCATATATTGTACAGCCTTATAGAATCTAAGCTGGTCTTAAAGCCATAAATGATTCATTGGGTCATTAGTGAGAAACGGGGATGTGGTTAGGTGCTGGTTCCTAGACATGTGAGTATGTGTTTGTGTGTGTGCATGTATGTGTGTGTATATTAAATGTATATATCCACACATTTTATATTGACATTCTGTAGATATGTTTGAATACAGAAACATTTTTTACCCCAACTACTGAATCCAGGAGTACCAAATAATATATAGTAAAAGTAAGATTTAAGGTTGTGTCAAAAAGGCACAGTGATTCAGCCATTTCCATTTGTCATTTCTTTCAAACTTTTTTAAGTTGAGTATTTTTCTTTCTGCAGTTGATTAGTTGGATCCTCCACATCTTGCATATATACACGGGCTCAATTATTATGTTTGTCAGGATAATCAAATACAAATACTGGTTCATGGTCAGCATTGAATGGTTGTTAGGCAGTCATGTGCTCAACACTGATTTCACCTCTTTCTGTAAGTATACTGAGTATAAACTTTTTAAGTTTAAATTGATTTACATGAAAGTGGATTAAAAGACTTTTCAAAAGAAAAGGTTTGAAAAACCTCAGTACCCTTTAATACATGTACATTTTTTTCCTTTCTTCATTTAATGTACATATGTCTGTTGTAACTATGTTTCTTAAATATTATTTTAAGGTTATGTGTTCTTTATTATGGTCAAATATAATTTGGTCACCAAAAATGAAATAATAGTTTAAAACAAGTAGTTGTTACTAAGTGTGCTAAAAATACTCATTTTGTAATTAATTTTAGTTTTCTTAGTATATTATAAATTGTGCCCTGGTCAAGTACAAATGTACACATCAAAATGCCCATATTGTATCTATCTGTAGTCATTTAATGTGAATTATATGTGAATTTTTTTTTCAATATTTTACTAACCAGAATTCTGTTATAAGCACCTAAACACGCAGCATGAGGAAAATGCCACAACACAATCTTGGGGTGCTTTCTAAATCATCAGATTAAATTGTTCTTCATGTTTTTGCTTTTACTGTATTTATTTTAAAACTCTCAATCTTTTTTCATGTGTTACTGGATTAATTTATCCGATAATGTCTCTCACAGCAATCTATTAGATCGTTTATTCTTCGGTTGTACTTTGAATGGTGGGGTAGAAGTTTCAGTTGAACACTGGATAACAAAAAGCAAGTTATGGAAGATTGTGAAGAGGATGGAAAAATTGAATACAAGATACCAAAAATGAAAAAAAGTGTCCCATTTTTAATAACTATATTATACGATTATTTTATAAATGTGTAATAAAGGGGTCCCTCTTTAAAAAAAAAAAGAAATGCAGCAAATATTAAAATTCTACACAGGTGGTAATATAGATTGTAAATAACAAACCTTGCTTGATAAAAATCCAGAAAATAATCTGGCTATTTCTTTTGTTTTTAGCACACATCAATGACCAGTTTTCAAAACAGATTATCATCAGGTAAATGTAATTGAAGCAAATAGAGTGACATGTAAGACACCTTGGAATCGTGCAGAGTCCCAGGAAATCTGCTGGGACCATGCTTCGCTATAGGCAGTAAAGCCTTTTGGGCAGGAGTTTATGTACTGCCTGGGTTCAAATCCTGGCTCTGCCATTCACCAGTTTTATGGCCATGGGTGAGTTACCTAATCTCTCTGAGCCTTGAGCCTCAGTTTCTCATCTGTGAAAGGGAAATAGTGATAGTGTCCATTACATAGAGTTGTTGTGAAAGCTTAATATGGTTAGGTAGGCAAAAACTTAAATAGGTCTGGGCACACAACAGTCAGTATGGTAGTTCTCCTTATCCATGGTTTCAGTTACCAACTGTGAAAATAGTTGGAAGTGGCTGTGTCTTTCCATGACTGTAGCTCCTGTCTGATCCCTGCCCTGCACCCTACACCTGACTCCTCAAGGCTCTAGCACTCACTGGATTCCAGCTCAGACCTAGGTATGTTAATGATTTCTGAGAACTAAAAATAAAATCCTAAGCCCTGCAACTGACTGAATGGACTCCCTCTTGGCTAAGGGGACCCCAGAGAAACCTAAAAAACTGAGTTGCTGGCCATGACAGGATGGGAGGTCATACACACCTTATTACCCCTTCCCTTTTGCAGTTTAGACACAACTACTAGCATTAATGCTAAAACAGAGATCATGCCATACAGGCTCTCTGTGGCAACAAGATACCAAAATAGGACCTAAGGCTGTGCCAGGCAAGGGTTAAATCATACAAGTAAAGAACTACGCTAAAAGAATAAACTGTGTTCTACCTGCCACAAGGCTTTTCTTTTTCTCTATCAGCTAAACAAGTACTGGTCTTGAGACAGGCAATATTGAAGCAGTTGCAGCTCACCCACCACCAGATGCTGACCTCCACCTACTGTTCCACAAGTCATCACTATAGCTTTGATTGGACAAGAGGCTGATTTCTGTAACTTACTCCTAATTAAAGACCATTGACCATGGACTGGCTCTGGCTGGTTTTATAGAGGCTGCACACTTAAGTCCCTTTGTATCCCTGCTTCACTTTTTGACGTATAGGGCCTAATTGTAATACAGTTAATGTTAAGTCTCCACCCCAAGATGAACACAGGTCTTATGTAACATACATGTTTATTCAGTATGCATGTGTTAAGATTCCCCTCTCATGAATATTCATGGAGCATCCTATAACCTGTTGAATATTTATACTTGGCCAACCCGCTCAGTAAAAATTCCTATCTTACCCCTTCCTCCTTCAAAGTGCCTGCTAAAGGTCTTTGTGGGAGGCTATGCTTCCTGGCCTGTCAGGATGGCCACCTTGCAGCCTATAACCCTGTATAAGGCAGGATAATCACCTGAGCCCAGGAGTTTAAGGTTCCAGTGATCTATGATCATACCCCTGCACTCCAGCCTGGATGACAGAGTAGGATGTCATCTCAAAAGAAAAAGAAAGAAAGAAAGAAAGAAGAAAGAAAGCAAAGAAGAAAGAAAAGAAGAAAGAAAGAAAGAAAGAAAGAAAGAAAGAAAGAAAGAAAGAAAGAAAGAAAGAAAAAAAGAAAGAAAAAAGAAAGAAAGAAAGAATCTTTTCCAAATTTAGAGGTCTCGTGATTAGCTATTTCTAGTCTTTGGGTGCATCAGCATCCCCTCTTTTTGATCTTTTAATCCTTTCCATTTTATTATTATTATTATTTTTGAGACAGGGTCTCACTTTGTTGCCCAGGCTGGAGTGTAGTGGTGTGATCTCTGCTCAATGCAGCCTTGATCTCCTGGGCTCAAGTGATCCTCCCACCTAGGCCTCCCAAGCAACAGGGACTTCAGGTGCACACCACAAGACCTAGCTAATTTTGTTTATTTTTGTAGAGATGGGGTCTCACTTTGCTGCTCAGGCTAGTTTGAACACCTAGGCTCAAATGATCCTTCCACCTCAGCCTCCCAAAGTGCTGAGACTTACAGGTGTGAGCTACTGTGACTGACAATACTTTCCATTTTAGTAAACGTCTTTCTAAAACTACCCAAGGTCATTTGCTGTTTTTGCTGAAGCCCTAGAAGCCTTCTCTGCCAAGACTTGGGTTTTGCAATGTTGCTGCTGCTGCAGTTGTTGGTGTTGAGATTGATGTGTCATGATGAAGGAGTTCCTTGAATTTTGGAGGGGATAGACCTTGGGTGTTCTTTGAGCAAAATTGCTTTATAAAAGATCTTTTGAGTCTGTCTTCATAGCTATGGGACAGTAGATGACTGGGCAAAGAATCCCTGTGGCTGGCTGCAGAAGGTTGCAAAAATGGGCATACTTGTTCATTCCTTGCTGTATGCATCTGTCTTGCAATGTGACTTTGCAGCTCCTCCCGTTGAGAAGGGAGTCTATTTGTATGCCCCCTGAATCTGGCTTTTTTACTTGCTTTAACTAGTAGAATGTAGTAGAAGAGAAGGTAGGTCAATTCTGGGACTGCGCTTCAAGAGGGCTTGCATGTTTCTGCTTGTTTTCTTTGAACTCCTGCCTCTACTGTGAAAATAATCCAGAGTACCCTGCTGGGGGACCAGAGCCAACTAGTCCCAGTTGAGGCCCATACCTGTGAGAAAGCCCAGACAAGACCAACACAGCCAATTTGCAGCTGCAGACATAGGGGGGCAGCCAGCTGAGACCAGTAGAATCGCCAGCTGAGCCTAGCCTAAAGTTCTGACTCACAGAATTGCAAGCTAAAGAAATTGTTTTAGATTAATGTGTTACAGAGCTATGCACAATTGTTATTCTGTCTGTTGGGTGGCCTAGGCTATAACCCCCATTTCCTGGTGACTCAGAGATATCTTCCAAGGGCATGTGGGTAGGTGGGCATTTTGGTCATGCCAGGCTGTTCATACTCCCCTATCGCTAACTTCATTTCTCAAGAGAGGGAACAAAGAAAAACTCCTTTGTTACTGAGCCTGATAAGGGCAAGAGGAAAGAAGCAAAGCAGTTACTTCTGCCTTCCATGTCAATCTCTGAGCTGAGAGCCGAAATTAGTGGTTTGCCACCTACCACTCCACTCAGCACCGCTTCCCCTGTCCTGACTCCCCTGTTTTTCTATGGAAGCAGCTGCTCCCTGCTTCTGGGATGTCTGTATTTCAAAGCTAATCCTGTTTCACAAAGGCAGACTCCAGAAGCAAAGAATTCTTGTGTCTTGACTGTTCAGCTGGCTTCTGAGCCATTCAGGAAGCAGTGGGAACCTGCTTGCGTAGTGCTCTAAATGGGAAATTAGCAAACACAATATGGTAAATTACCCCGAA